TGCCTGTAGCTAGAGCGACAATGAGACCTATAAACTCATAAAAGCCTATTTACTATCCTATTTCTTTTGGTTCATGTCCACTCGCGCTTCATATAACCTGGCAATTGTGTTCCTGGACATCCCCGTATCTCTAGCAGGTTCATCAAACAGTGATTCTCCCAGTAACTCCTTCATACGTCTGGATATTCTGCAGTAGAGTCATTTAACAAGTTACTCACATGGGACACAAAGTCAGCTGTCAGTAACAGCTTGAAAAAGAAAGCAATGTGTGGATTTGAGGACAAATATGCTAAAAGGCACTTACATGGGTTCATTTGTGACTGTTGTCATCTGCTTCATTGATGCCTAATGCAATCTCTGCTATCGCTACTGAGCAGTTTACTGCATTATGTCCTTATCAATCTTTCATAAAAGGCTGCAAATTCAGTATGTTAGGGCAGAGGATCTTAACTCCTGGAAGGATAGAAAGGATTATAGACAGGCCCACTGGAAATATGATTATTCTAACAATCATCTGGTGCACCACTAGGCCAACTGGTACCTTTTAAAGCAGTGGTTCTCAAAATGTTTGGTGTACAAGTACCCCACAAATGGTTAAACCTCAGGCTGAACCATTGTTCTAGAGAACACACATCAGCTCGGTTAGGGGACAAACAGTTCAGGATAAAGTTTGGATAAATTACTCAATCCAATGAAAGTGAGCCAATAGGATAGGTGGTGAGTTAGATGAGGTTAGATTAGTAGGCATCGTAAACTACTACTACTCAACTTTCTTTTCATATTGTGGACGTCCAAAAGTATCTCTCCTTCAAAAAAAGACATGCTTTTGAGAATATGGGGATAAATTATTGAAATGCTTTGCAGAAATATGAGGCACAAATGACATTTGTTCACTATGAAAGGCATTCAGACCACACACACAGATGTGCTGGTGCGTGTGTGCGTGTGTCTCTCTACGCCATATCATGGCTTTATAAGGAGAGGAGACAGTTTTATCTCAGTCGGTACCAAGAACAGATACAGCAGCAGAGATGGCTGAACAATAAGCTGTGTGGGAAGAAAACCACAGACAGTGAGCATTATTGCTCAGATTCCTACAGTCTTGTTGTCGCTGTGAGTTGTTTTGCATACATCAAACAAACCAGATACAACGTGGTAATTAGCCAGATCTAGAGTTATTTTGTTCCCTTTTACTCAGAACCAGGCTAACTGTTTCACCCTGTTTCCAGTCTTTATTTTAAGCTAAGCTAACCCCCAACGGCTTCACATATAGGATTGGTATTGAGTCCATTACTCAAAATATGAAACTATTCCTTTAAAGCAGAAATCAGATTCCTTACTTGGTTACATAGCAATATCACCCTGATATCTGGATGTCTTCCTAATAAGGCAGCTGGTTATTTTTAACAAAATCTAATATACTTTGGACCACATGAACAGGATTTAGTCTGATTTCCACTTTAAAATAGCTAGATGCTATAGACTACTCTACTTTGTTTCATGTTATAATCACACATACAAACACCCTTTAACATTATCAATGTCCGGCCTTGTAAGCATCATTTTGGCCTCCAAGCAGGAGTTTTTACTTTACTTCATTTACACATACAATTCATATTCAGATGAATCAGAAAACCTTCAGAAAGACAGCTACAACAGAGGACTGAGCAGTCTGTTCCAGGATGGGAGGACTGTTGGTTCCTTCTGTTCAAAGGAGCAGTCATACTTTGTTCTGTGATGATATTAAAAACTATGTTACCAGTCCTGTGCCAGGGCCAGGGCAGAGCAGATACAGTGCAACAGGGCGCACAATGTCCCTGACAAATGAAGATATCTAGTTATTTTTAAGAGGAACAAGTCAAACTGTTTGTTAGTGTGTGCTGTTGGTGTATGCTCGTCTGTTATTTATGTCTATGAACCGTTCTGCCGACCAGTCACATGTGTTGTAATGGACGCGGTGATATTAACGTGGTTCGATGATATCAAATCTCAGCCAGGATAACTTTCCCCTTTATATGATTATGTTTATAACATTACTAAAATATATTACACAGTGGAGAGAGAGAGAGAGAGAGAGAGAGAGGACTGACAGGCAACACAGGAAGAAGACTCTAATCCAGACTGGTCGTACAACATAGTGTGACATGACACAGCTGAAGTCATGATTTCATTAAAGGGTAGACAGGAAGGCAATAACTGATACAATACAGATCCAGATGGCTAGCTATCACCAAACTTATGAATATCACACACACAAACATCATAGCAGCTGGTGCCTGCAAGTCAGAAACACAACCTAAAGGAAGCATAAGAACAGTATTTTGGTAACATTTAACTGTAGTTTGCACTGAAAGTTAAGATTTCTTTGTGTAGCTGCACTGATAACACAGGTTTCCATCAACAGGCAGGCAGAACAAGCCCTTTCTAAACACTGCAACAGGCAGGTTTTATGCAATTTTTTGTGTCTAGATATAATCTGAAATGATCTTTTGGGAGTGTGTTTTATTTGGAGAAGCGCTGGGTTTACAAGGTCAGTAAAGAGTTACTATTGAGGAACACACTGACACTGACTGGAGGACACTAAACTTTGAGTTGGGGAGTTTCAGCATCTCTTATCTTTTCTTACTCTTCTCCTGAAGTCATAAAGCTAAATGACATACCAGGCAACCACCAAAATCGGCTGGGGCACGGCAATTAACCGAGATGGAATAATGCAGAAATAAACCTGGTGATATCATTAATAATGCAGAGACAAAGATATCCAGACCTTTTAGTCTGTAGAGTAGGTGAAGCTCCAAAAATCACTGGATCTTTACACCCTGCCAGCCTGGTAAACGCTCCCAGGGTTTTTACAACAACAAGTTAACATGGTGGCACTTATCGGCACAATAATCATGAGCCAGGATGATTTTGGTGTTAACAGGTGAAGGTGACCAACTGCCAGATGTCTCTCATTGGTCTTTATCCAGGCACACACTGAGAAAAAGAGATAAAATACTTGAAGGCTTAACCCTTTTTCTGTGTCTGTCATACTCTCTCTCTCTCTCTCTCTCTCTAAGGTGCCTCCTCGTCAGCTTATACGACATCTGTCACCACAAACGAATCCCTCTCGGTACGGAGCGTATCCTCTGAGACTAGAGACTAGGGATGTGAGCTGAGTTAACTTCGCGCTGTCAGCACGCTACCGCCTGCTCTGTAGAGCACTGGGTTCACACACAGACACACACTGGAGATCAGAGTTGGAGAGCTGTCACTGGGGTCAGTCGGGAGACGTGCGATATCTTGACAGAGCTGAAGTGTTCGCTGACACAGAAACACATGTAACACACTGCGGAGCCTCACAGTCTGTCCCCGTCTCTTTTTGTGACCAAGAGTGTGTATGTTTGTATATTTAAAGGACGTGTGTGTCCTTTCTACTTCAAGATAAGTCTGCCTATATTAGAACAATACGATTAGTTAAGATTAAGTGTATTTATAAACACATTTGACTATAAACAGGTCATATGCCTAACTGTTTACCACATTATAATCACATTTTAACCACTTAAATTAAATTAAATTAAATTAAATTAAATGAACCACTTTTTAATCTGATGCGACAGGAGAAACACACTGCTCTTAGCTCCATGCAGGAGAATCAGGGTTCAAGTTATGTGGGAGCATGAGAGAGCTGAGCGTTCATAAGAACAACCACTATTTTAATCACAAATAATGCATTTTTCAATGTAAGCAGTCTGTACTGACTGCTTGCTTTCTATATAATAATATACCAAAAAGGGCAGAATTACATTCTTTCACATTTCAGGCTATTGAAACTTTGTTGCAATATTTCAATTAAGTTTTGGGTTGTTGCATTGACAGTTTATATTTTATATTGTTGCAACCAACTTGATACAACTGTTGCAAGGTGTGTGTGTGTGTGTGTGTGTGTGTGTGTGTGTGTGTGTGTGTGTATTGGACCACGTAATGAGCTATGAAGTCTCTCTCCGTCTCTAACAGAAAGCACACCCGTTAGGCTATTATTTTTTATCTCTGCTAAAGTTATTAACATTTTTAGAGATGCCCACAAACGTTAGAAGAGAAATAAATAAAATCCATTTGTCCTTTCCAATCTTATGGGTTTGTTTGTTTGTTGTCTTTAATTTGCTCTCGTTTTATGGTTACTGCAACACAGGGCTCTTAAATGTTTAATCCTATTTGTTTTCAGTTGCTTGTAGAGTTGGTGATGCACTTCTGGCTTAAAAACATCAGTTAAACATAAAACATTTATATATTTACTGCATTATGCATTCAATAAATATGAGGTAACTCACAACCTGTGTTAGTAAATGAGTTATTGAAACCTTGTTTCTGCTCTTTACTTTAAAATAGCTGACATACTTCTGGAGATTTCACATTTAACTTCAGCAATATTCAACCATCAAGTATATTGGAAAAGCAAATACCATGGGCACATACAGTACAGGGAAATACTAAAAAACATATAACATAATAACATTTCTAAGATATCAAATACATATCAAATACAAATAATATATTTTCCATTTAATGAGCTCCCAAGACTCTGGTTGTTTACCAATTATGATGCTGCGGGAAGTCGAAAATGTCCACAGATTAAAAGACACACGTGCTTGCTTCCATTTTAGATTGCATTTCCCTGACTGGTCCTGCATTTTATAAAAAAAGCCCTTTGAATTTACACTTAATGCCGAGCAGCTGTTTACAGAGGAAAATACATCTGTTGACCCCAAACGAGGCATTTTATATACTTGTAGAAGAAGCCAAATATGTTGTCATGTCATAAATAAAGAAGATGGATTTAAAAAAATTGCCCTTCTGTGAGCTTGCCTTACAGCTTTAGAGAAATATTACTGGATATAATAATAATATAGTATGGTTTCACTGCATAAACAAATGTTTTTTTCTCGGCTCAAAACATAATTTCATAATTTGAAATAACCTTTAGCAGCCTCTTTCCCCTGCGTGTGATAGGAGCTCACCTTGTGGTGCGATGATGATGAGGAGGAGGAGGGAATCTGCAGGCCTCACTCTGGAGCAGTTTCTGTATGAGGAGGAAGAACATCACAGTGTTATAGGCCACAGTTTGATCTGAAAACACTGTATTCTCCTCTTCCTCCCTCCTCTTCAGTCTCTCCAGTGGCAGTAAATAGTTCAGTTCAGTGTGTGTGTGCTGCACAGATAATTAGTTACACCTGTGCTTTTATTGTTTAATTATGTTCTATATTATTATAGTGCCAGTGCAGGAATGTAACTACATTTACATTAGGTATTTATATGCATATGTATACTTCTACTCCACTACATGTCAGAGGAAAATATTGTACTTTTTACTCCACAACATTTATCTGACAGCTAATATATCGTTATTGGTTACTTTTCAGATCAATATTTTCATTACATTTCAGAGTAACTACTTCAGCTTCCCCTTAATACTTCTTCCAGCAGTGGACACAGTCAAGAGAAAGGTCAGTTAAGAATCATTTTAAACTAGCCTGTGTTACCTGTCATTTATACAGCCTTAAGCCGCCATTTAACTCAACTTAACAGCAGTCTTAACAACCTGACGAGCTCACCTTTTCTTCTGGTAAAACTTTGTCACTAGTTGTTTTCTCTTTCCGTCCATTACTTTACATTTTAACCCCACTTTCACTGCAGTTTTTTGGGGGGAAAAATATCACGTTCATGCGGAATAAGCGACGCCGTCAACAAACATGTGTAGGTGCGGACTAAACCATTTGCTCCTCACTGGGGGGGGATGGGTTTTTATTTTTTATGGGAAAAAATTAATACCTGCCTAATTGATTCAGAGCAGGGGTTAGCAGTAGCAGTTAGCATTAGGGTTATGTGATTTAGAAGAAGAAAAAACCTACAACCAGTAAAAGCCAATGACTTCCCCGTTATCTTTGTGCTTTAGATGTGGGGAAACATTTCCAACCATGTCTTGCTCTTCGTGTTTGCCCCTCAGAGAGCTCTCACATGTGAATGAGTTGGGTTTATGTTGAATCTCTGTCTAAAAGTGTGCATGTCCTAAGGTAGGAGGAGGCTGAGCTTCTGCTCTCCTCTTCTTAAAGTCTGAAAGTGTGTGTGAGGGAGGACAGAGACCACATACAGGCACTGCTTGAATATCCCAGCTTTAAGCATAATGGATATTGGACTAGGCATCTCTGTGTGCCTCTTGGTAAACTGAAACACCCACCATGGCCCTAACAACTCAGAGACTCAGAGAGCTTTTGCAGAGTTCATGTGAGGCTGGCAATCATCTGTCTATGCATCCATCTGAAGTTGGGTTTGGACCAACTTCATAATGCTGCTTATGAGTCTGTTTTTCCCCGTATCATTTCCCATAAAATACAGATTTTTAGAGGAGAGAGTGAGTCCTGAGACACCTTTCGAGTGCTGTGATCTGCTGCAGTAAGCTCCCACTGTACCTCTATGTACGTACCGCCTGGCTGATAAGACGTTCCATTGTTCTGCTGATAAAAGCATGCCCACCATTTGTCCCTGTGTGTCGACTTCACCAAGATGGTAGCATGGTTTCGAGGCAGTCAGGGTACTACGTTAGGTAAAGACTGATTTATTTCTCATCAATAGGGGAATTACTGCATGCATAGATTAGACTGAGGGTTTATACAGTATATTGTCATATTATTTAGAGTAAATCAGTCTCATTATCAGGTAACAAGGTTAAGGTTTTTCTCTGAGGTTAGTTAATTTAAATAGTTAATCACAGAAAATGACTCTTAATCATCAGGTATGCATTGAGTGATATTGAATGGCTCTCTGTTTAATGCATGGAAATGTAATGTTAATGTAATGTTAAATATTTCAGATATACCAAAGAGCTCTGGATGGTTTCACTAACCACAATATTTCTGCATTAAGGTTGTTTTTTTCTGTGTGTCTTGAATATGGTAGCGTTAAAGTGTGGACATGTTGATGTTACTAATGTATTCCTTGAGAAACAGCGAGGGAAAACATTGAAAATGAGCATGAGGAGCCATAATCCTCAGTAGGGAATTCATCAAATACTAAATAGCTCCCATCTGTCCGATTCCTATATTCACATAACTTCAACCCAACCTTACCGTCTTCATACACTTTAGTCAAAAGCATGGAATATTAACACGTAAAGGAAAACCATGGCTCGTTATTTCTACTCATAAATGAGGCACACACACACACACACACACACACACACACACACACACAAAATGAGAACAGGAAACGTTTGTGGGACCTGACTCGAGCGCATTTTTATTGAACATTTATAACTGTTAAAAACATGTATAAAATTGGTCCTGTTTCAGAAACAAGGCACGCATAGTCATGTCAATGTTCAGTGTTCATGTCATTAGCATCATTTATCAACATCATCATCATCATCATCATCATCAGCACGTTCCATCAGTATTTGTCTAATAGTAGTATCAAGCATTCCCTAATATAAAAACACGTTCCAATATTTTTTTCACAGAGGTTAAAATTTTATTTCCGAGCAGCAAGACAATATTCATGCAAAAAGACGGGAGTGGAGGAGAAGATGCGAGTTGACGGGGCTGATGGGTCTTTAATAGTAGGTCTCCCGCTCCACCCAACCTGGACACGCAGGGAGAGAAAACAAACGGGATTCAGAGGCAACTTCTCAGGTAGATTGGAAATAGTTGATTGTATTCAAAAACATGCAAACGGACCGGAGGAATGAGAGAGATGAAGAAAGAGGCCAAAGAAAAAAGCAGAAAAACAACAGTGCAGAGGGAGGAGAGAAGATAATAAAAGCATGGATTCTGGACTCACCTCCTGGGCTGCGTCTGAGGATCAGCTTACGGATTTCATCATAGATAAAGATGAGCAGGGAGTAGGGGAAGGCGCAGAACCACCAGTTGGGCCTGGAGAACACACAGAAAGAGATTAGGGAAACTGATCCAGTGCCCCGGGCGTCGATGAGCAACATGTGGTAGGTGGAGTAAGCGCGATTACAGATTCAACAAGATACGCACGTGGGCTTATTGGTGGACTGTGAGAGGAGTGCTTGTGCTTTTACTCACTTGAGAGGGTACATTCTGAGGGCAACGTCCATGCCCGGGCAGTAAGAGAGGAAGGCAGCCAAGGCGGTCTCCTCAAACAGTCCAAAGATCAGGATCTTGTTCCTGAAACACACGGGGAAAAAAATGTGAGAAAAATGAAACCCGAGACCCAAACAAACCAATTCAAGTGATTGAAAATAGCTGGGATTTTATCTTCGTCGTCTTGGGGCCAGGATTTCAAAGCTAAAAATAAACCTTCCAAGAAAAGTGCAGCACAATATCGAAAAGGAGGCATGACATTCAAGATGGCAGCTGCTTCAGTCGCAGAGGAGAGCGTAGCAAAACCCACGACTCAGGCTCGGACAGTTCAGAGACGGTAGATGACAAATGTTTTTGTACTCACTTCATGCCCTGCTGGAATACAGAGTTCCTCCTGGTCTTACAGATGATCAGATCAGCCCACTGGACGATGACAATACTGGCGAAGAAGGCTGTGTGGCAGGTGAACTCCACGATCTTCCTCTGCTCGTACGTCTGACAGGAAACACAAGCAAGAGAAAGTTCATACCAGGCGGCGGTGGCCCAATTGAAACCACTACGTGTGGTCTGTGCAATCAACGTTACTGACCCACTGCTGTCCATAGCTGTCCTCCAGGTCGTTGATGTATTTATTATCCCAGGACACTCTAATGCCCAGCAGGGTGTTGGGCAGGAAGCCATTTTCAGCTAAGATCACAAAGTATGTGAAGAAACCTGCCAGCGCCTGGATCATACCTGCAGGGAGGAGAGGGGAGGGGGACATGAGCTTATTCAAACCTTTACCGGTGGTCCACTACTTTGTGATACATTACTGTTTAAGGGAAAAGGGCAGCGGCAATGTCTCAACAAAAAAATCTCACAGCATAGTCAGAAAGTACCGAAAACAACAAGATTTGTTTGTTTTTGTTTGTATTTCTGCTCTTACATAAGGTAGATAGAGGAGTTCAGGAGGGTCGGGCCTATTCTTGGCTTCATTACCAAAGAGGGAAAAATCAAAAGCCAGAGGGGCCGCTCTATCATCCACACACACACACACACACACACACACACACACACACACACACACACACACACACACACACACACACACACACACACACACACACACACACACACACACACAAACACACACACACACACACACACACACACACACACACACACACACACACACACTATCAGTATGAGCCTATTTCTGGTGTATGCCACTCTTCTAGTTATCTTGGACCACCCAGATACTGAGCTGGCCTTTCCAGAAAAATCTACCAAGGGGCCACTGATATCAAACTCTCAGTTCTGGTCCGATTTTAGCAGTGCGCCTGGAAGATTTGGATTTCTAATCAAGGTGACAATAAGGGTCTGTTTACCGATCTGTCCGTAGGCTATGCTGATGAGCCTCTCATTCACCAGTTTGTCTGTTTTGGGGTTTCTGGGCTGTCGCTTCATGATGTCGCTCTCAGCTGCTTCATAAGCCAGGGAGATGGCGGGGACCTGGGAGGCAGGACACAGCACTGATCAATGAGCAAGCGGACACACTGATGAAGGTGGACATTCACTCTCAACAGTTTGAATTGGTACTGAAAAATTTTTTTTTTTACATTGACTGAATAAAGTTTTCCTCAGGATTACTGTGTGAACTTATAACTTCTACAAAAATGAGACATTTTAGCAGCACTAAAGAGCTGAAAGTCTGCAATTCGTCCATCTTTACCATGTCAGTTCCCAGGTCAATACAGAGGATGGTGACGGTTCCCAGGGGCAGAGGGATGTTAGCGATGATGAAGAGGAGGAAGGGGGTGATCTCAGGGATGTTACTGGTCAGAGTGTAGGCGATGGATTTCTTCAAGTTGTCAAAGATCAGACGACCTGAGGAGCACAAGCACATACAGTCAACCCTCCGGCTAAAAAAACTTACATTTAAAAACCAGTGAAATTATGGTATTTCTTATGCTGAATTTAGTGCTTCAGCTCTGTTAAGTACAATCTTTTACCTTCTTCCACTCCAGTAACGATGGAGGCAAAGTTGTCGTCCAGCAGGATCATGTCAGCGGCCTGCTTGGAGACGTCAGATCCAGAGATACCCATGGCAACACCAATGTCAGCCTTCTTCAGAGCAGGAGAGTCGTTCACACCATCACCTGTCACAGCCACAATGGCTCCCTGCAGAGAGGAGTACAGAGAATTATTTAGATTTTATTCATTTTCATTTAGAAATACAGAGGAGCAAAGAATGTCACACATTTTCTCAGCAAACTTGAGCTGAGATGAGAAGTCAAACTGTTAAATGGATGAGCGGCGTGCTGAATAAAGGATTTCCTTGAAAAAAAATTTAGTTAAATTACTTTTAGACAATGGCACCCACATGTAATATCTGGGCCTCCCACTCAAGTAAATAAAAAGCTCACCATGTACATTTTCTAAGATTTATTAAAGATGTGATATGGTTTTTTTGCTGCCATGCACTTAAATGTGCACTAGTAAACCACAAGGACCATATTTCAAATCGACCTGATGCAGAAAATCTGTGCTGCTTAAGCACAGTGAATGGAAAGACATTTGAAATATAACCTCAACAGCGCTTAAGATGAAATGTCAATAATGAAATCGTGGTTAATCCCGTTCCCACTCCTCCTCCAGGAAGTATGTGGGACGCACT